GGAGAGGCCCTGGAGGGCAGTTTCTGGGAGGTGAGCAGCAGGGTCCCAGGTTTGGGGGTGGCCCTGAAATGCCCACCCCTCTCTGGGCCCAGCCACCTGTCCAGGGGAGTTGTCTAGCTGTCAGCCCCAGCCCTCAAAGGGGCTTCTTCCTGGCCACACCGCCCTTTCCATGTACGCCCCAGGCCGGCAACTACAGGCGGACGGTGCAGCGGGTGGAGGACGGGCATCGGCTGTGCGGGGACCTGGTCAGCTGCTTCCAGGAGCGCGCTCGCATCGAGAAGGCCTATGCCCAGCAGCTGGCCGACTGGGCCCGGAAGTGGAGGGGCGCCGTGGAGAAGGGTGAGCCAGCATTTGGGCCTAGCAGCCAGTTGGCCACCACTGTGGGGAGACCAGGCAGGGCAGCATTTTTTTGCACCTCTTGTGGGAACCTTGAGGCTTCCCCGTCTGCCTTCCCTTCAAAGGGAAGATCCTCCTGGTAATTCTCCCAGGAGTGCTGTTAGAGTTTGCAAAGTATGGTCAGGAGTTATTTTGATATTTCTAACAATGCTATGATGGAGACAGTTCTGATCGACATGTTTTCCAGAAGACAGTCTGGAAATTCAGAGAAGCTAAGTGACTTGCCTGAAGCCACACAGCTAGGAAGAACGTAAGCTTGAGTCGGGCCTTCCGATTTGGGATCTTTCCACCTTAACAAGATGCCTTCCTTGGGGACAGACACTGGTTCCTCTTTCTGAGGCAAGAATGTAGTGATTTATGCCATAGACCTGGGCTTAAATCTCAGTGCCCTTGTAGTTGTAATGCCTTGGGCGGTTAATTTCATTTCTCCGGACCACAGTTTTTTCTCTTGTTAAATGTTGATCGTGACACTGTCTTCATGTTGGTGGATGAGGCAAGGATTCAGTGAGATGTGGTAAGTCAAGGCAAGAGCAGGTATTCTGTAAGCAGCAGCTGACACAGGTTTTTTGTGGGTTTTTTTTTTAATCTTTGCATCCCTACTTCATGGCTGGCCCTGGAACAGCACCCAGTGAGAGGGGGTGGGCTTGATTCTGGTGGCATCCCTGGCCTGGCCCAAGTCCCATCCCTCCCTGCAGGTCCCCAGTACGGCACGCTGGAGAAGGCCTGGCATGCCTTCTTCACGGCGGCAGAGCGGCTGAGCGCACTGCACCTGGAGATGCGGGAGAAGCTTCATGGGCAGGACAGTGAGCGGGTGCGTGCCTGGCAGCGGGGGGCATTCCACCGGCCAGTGCTGGGGGGCTTCCGAGAGAGCAGGGCCGCTGAGGACAGCTTCCGCAAGGCCCAGAAGCCCTGGCTAAAGAGGCTGAAGGAGGTGAGCCTGCGGGCGTGGGGGCGGATGAGCATCAGGGGCACAGCCCTTCGAAAGTCTATGGCTGGGGCGTGTCCTGAGGGGTCCAGAGTTGTCCCTGTGTGTGCCAGGTTGAAGCTTCCAAGAAGAGCTACCATGGAGCCCGAAAAGAGGAGAAGACAGCCCAGACCAGGGAGAGCCACGCGAAAGCTGACAGCGCGGTCTCCCAGGAGCAGCTGCGAAAGCTGCAGGAGCGGTTGGACCGCTGCACCAAGGAGGCTGAGAAGGTACCGGCCATGGGAGTAGCTGGCCCAGCTTGGCTTCCTGAATGCCTCTCCCAGTCCCAGCACCTTCCTGCTCTCATCCTCACCTGCCACCCTCTCTCCAGGTTACCATGTAAAGGAGGAAGCTGAGAAAAGATAAGGCTTTACCCAGAGAAAGAAACAGTGCAAGTTCAGGCATTGGGAGGACTTTAGTGGTTGAGACCTTCCAAGGTTGGTCTCCAAAGGAAGACTTTCCTCCAAAGGAAGGTTGTCCCTTCCTTTCCCACCTGGGACAACTTCTCATGCTGCTTGCCCTGCCAGAGTACCCTGTCCTCCAGCTCTGCATATCCAAATCCTCCCATCCTCTGAGGTGCTGCTCAGTTTCCACCTCCTCCGTGAAGCCTTTTCTGATTGCTCCCAACCCCCCACCGCAGTGAGAAGTCACCTCACTCCCCGTCTCATCTTACTCTCACTTTCAGCCTTCACTCACCAGACTCAAAGCTGCTGTGCCCAAATGTCACCTCTCCTGTTAGGCTGCTGGGGACCTAGGGGCAGGAACTAGGTCTTGTGACTGGCTGCCCCTGGTGCCGAGCCCAGGGTCCAGCCCAGGGTCCAGCCCATGGCAGGTACTCAGTAAATACTAACGGTGTCCCGAGTGGAAGAAGGCCTCGTGCTGACCAGGTCCCCTCCTCTCCCACCCAGACGAAAACCCAGTATGAGCAGACGCTAGCAGAGCTGCACCGCTACACCCCGCGCTACATGGAGGACATGGAGCAGGCCTTTGAGACCTGCCAGACCGCCGAGCGCCAGCGGCTTCTCTTCTTCAAAGATATGCTGCTCACCCTTCACCAGCACCTCGACCTCTCCAGCAATGAGAGGTATGGCCTGCGTGGGGAGGGGCATGGGGGTCTGCAGTAGCACTGGGCCCCTTCCACCTCCCCTGGCTGAGACTGGGGGCTGCGGAGGCCCAGGGCTTCTGAGTTTGAGGGTTGTGTCTTGGGCCGCAGATTCCACGAGCTCCACAGAGACCTGCATCAGGGTATTGAGGCAGCCAGTGACGAAGAGGATCTGCGCTGGTGGCGCAGCACCCACGGGCCAGGCATGGCCATGAACTGGCCACAGTTTGAGGTATATGTTCCGGGTGGGGCCGGGAGGCGGGGTGGGCTCCCACTGGATGCAGCGTGGACCTCAGGAAGGGGGCCAGGGCTTGGGATGACGTAGGTGAAGGTGGTTTGGATGGCTCTGGGTGCCACCACAGCCTGCAGTCCAGCCTGACCCTAAGCACTGTCCCCACAGGAGTGGTCCCTGGACACACAGAGGACAATCAGCCGGAAGGAGAAGGGTGGCCGGACGCCTGACGAGGTTACTCTGACCAGCATCGTGCCCACAAGAGATGGCGCTGTGCCCCCACCTCAGTCCCCGGGGTCCCCAGGGTGAGAGCCAGGAACCTGGCTGTGCAGCTCTGTCCCCTGCCCTCCTTTCCTTCATTCTCTTCACACTTGCAGGGGGTTGAAATGGGTGCTAGGGACCTTAGGACCTACACAGTGGCTGTAATGCCAGTTTTCATGATGGTTTAGCTTTGCCAGGTGTTCCCCACGTTCCCTCTCATCTGCTGCTCACACCAGCAGGGTGTCAGGCAGAGCACCTGAGTTCACAGGCATGTGTGGCAGAGGACAGACTGGACGCTTTCAGTTCTCCCCCATCTGCCTCTCCCACGGTTCCTCCGGGGGGTGAGCCCTTGGCCGTGGGTCCTAGTCTCTGTGGATCAGGGTGTTCTTTGTGCCCTGAGCCTGCCCCCCTTCTGCCTCCCCTCTCCAGCGGTGGGCAGGATGAAGAGTGGTCAGATGAGGAGAGTCCCCGGAAGGCCGCCACCGGGGTGCGGGTGCGGGCGCTCTATGACTACGCTGGCCAGGAGGCTGATGAGCTGAGCTTCCGAGCAGGTACCCTGGGACCCCTTTCCTGTTCCTTTTCAGGCTTCAGCCTGCCTTCCTCCATTGACTATCCTGAATAGGGGTGTGGAAGGGGGAAGCCAGACACATTTCTCAAGGGCCAGTTCTCTGACTCTTAAGGTTGCTCCAGCCTGCAGGAGTCAGAGTGTCTGCTCTGGGCCCTAACCTCTCTCTCAAAACCACCAGCTGGCGCCTAAGTGCTGCATTCAGGGTCTGGGGTGGGGTGGCTTGCTGCCTTCAACCTCCCTCTGCCTGAGCCATGTCTCTTCCTCTAGCTGGATTCTCAGGGTTACTGCCCATTCCCCCTCAGTCCTTGACCCAATTGCGGGAATGGGGCTGGGCCAGGGCAACTGGCAATGACCAACCCTTCTTTCCCCAGGAGAGGAGCTGCTGAAGATGAGCGAGGAGGACGAGCAGGGCTGGTGCCAGGGCCAGCTGCAGAGCGGCCGCATTGGCCTGTATCCTGCCAATTACGTGGAGTGTGTGGGGGCCTGACTGCCCTGCCAGCCCTTCTGCCATGTTTCGCCGCCCTGAGAAGAGCCCAGCTTCTCCCGGATGGCTGGACTGAGGCCCCTGAACCACTGTGCCCCTGCTGTCCCTCTGTCCCTTGAGGAGGGAGGAAGTCCTGGGAGCCAGAGAGGGGAGGGGCTGTCTAGGAAGGGAAGGGCCAACTGAGTCCAGGCTGAGGGTAAGATGGGGAGGTCAGGTGACAGAAGGGTTCAGGGATACCTGGGCCTCTCCAGGACTGCTTTGGTCTCCCCAGGAGCCGGGGACCCAGTTTCTGGTCCCTGTGTTCTGGGGTTCCTGGGGTGGGCTTGGGGTGAGTGTAGTTCTGGGCTAGCAACACTCTCTTTTGTGGCGTGTTAGTGTGTATTAAACTTGGAGGAAAAAAAAAAGCATTATCAGGCTTGTGTGCGACTTTTTTGATACTCCATCCTTGTCTGCAGAGGGCATCGGGAGAGAGGCATTGACGGGAGGTTTGTGGGCCTAGAGTTGTGTTATGGGGGCGGGGGTTGGGCAGAAGTTGCCAGGTGGTACCTGCTCTGGAACTTCGGGACCCTGACCTGGGGTGGAAGGGACTGGAGATCTGGCTTGCAGTGAGCCGGCCAAAGACGGAGGCTGGGTGCTGAGTTCTGAGCTGGGCGGGGGCCCAGCCCCTCTGTCTTGCCGTTCAGACCGGTGGCATCCTGAGCGCTTGGTAGGACTGTTAATCATTACTCATCCTTCGGGAACCGGCCTCGAGCCCACGCCTTCTGGGAGGTGGCTCCACCTTCCGGGGGCAGCGCTCTCGCGCGGCTCGGAAGAACTGGGAGCCCTCGCACCGCCCAGGCTGCGGATTGGCCCCTGCGTGGCGCGGCGTGGGTTCTGGCGACTATTGTGGAGGTGGGGCTGTGACGTTTCTGCGCCCGTTTCGCCGGCCGCTCATTGGTCCAGCTCAGGATAAGTCGCCCCACCCCTAGGCTGGAAAGGGCGCGGCAGAGGCCGACCTGCGTACTCCGCCTTCCGGGCCGCGGATTGGCCCAAGACGGGGCCCGTCCGTCGCGCTGGTGTCTGGGAAGGAGAGAAAATGGCGTCTGAGCCGAGCAAGACCGAGATCCAGACCTGTTTTAAGAGGCTTCGCGCAATTCCGACCAACAAGGTGCGTGAGCGGGAGGTGCGGGGGCTCTGGCGCGGGCCGAGAGAGACTCTCCGGGGTCCCCTGAGGCCCGAAGGAGGGAGAAGGGCGGACGTGGGCTGTTTTCCTGAGGTGTCAGTGCACGGCCTCGACTCGGGGTCTCTGATCATTCGCTCATCGCCTCTTCCCCCAGGCCTGTTTCGACTGTGGCGCTAAGAATCCGAGTTGGGCAAGCATAACGTACGGTGTTTTCTTGTGCATAGACTGCTCCGGGGTGCACCGCTCCCTGGGTGTCCACCTCAGCTTTATCAGGTGGGGTATCCTCGCGGCTGCTGTCTGTACTCAGCCAGGGTTTTGTGCTCGGGCGGGCAGAGTGGCGACTTGGGCCACTTTGAATTCGGTCTTCGGAAATGTCCCGGCCGGAGTCCTGTAACCTTCCACCGGAGGGCACCGCCTGTGTGGACCCCTTGCCACATAGACAGTTCAGTGTCCGCGTCTGGGTCAAAACTCCCTTCTTTCCTGGCGGTCAGAATCGATTCTCCGAGCGTTAGCTTTGGGGAAAAGTTAGCTGCATTGACCTTGTTATTGCTGATGTACTGGTAGAGTATGTCTGAAGTGACACTGTGGCCGTCCTCACGGGGAAAGCCAAATCCAAGCTTACGTGCCGAGATTTCGACCTCCTTTCGGATATGGAAAATAATTAGCACTCTTCTGACTACATGAACGGAGAGCAAAGCTTTCGCGGACAGGGCAGAGGGAAGGAAATAGGGTGGTGGCTGATTAATGTTTCCTGGGTGCCTGCCGCAGCCTGAGGCCAAATAGCAGGTGTGGGTCGCCAGGGAGGCATCTCCTGGTATCTTCTGGTGGGTGACATGCAGCCCTTGACACAGGTCCACAGAGTTGGATTCCAACTGGAGCTGGTTCCAGCTGAGATGTATGCAGGTCGGCGGGAACGCCAATGCGGTAAAGCTCCTTCTTAACCATTCTCCCTGCTCTCATCTACTATGTGGGTACTAACTCTACTAGGAGGCCCTCTCAATTTCTCCGGTGTATGGCAACACTGTACACTGTTCTCTAAACTTGGGACTTGGTTACTCTTCTTCTCAAAGGGCCTTCAGATTAAAGCAAAACTGGAGAGATGTTCTTGGGGAAAGGCCAAGGGGATTAGGGCCTCCGCAGCCACCCAGGTCTTGGCCTGGGTGGGTGAAGGATGGGCAGAGCGGGTATGGCCTGTGTGCTCAGGCAGGGCCTCAGTCATTCACCTCTGGGGATGGGAGGCTGTTTTCTGCGGGAATTTCTGAGAACCTTCACCTCTATGACAAAGTCCTGATGTGAATGGAGTATATTATTCTGTATAAGTAATAGTTGGGCTGTTACAAGGGGTGCCTTTTTTGGCTCTGGGGAGAATCACAGTAGCACGTTGCCCTCTCTTCTTTACTCTCCAGACAGCTTTCTTCCGTCAACATGGATGCACAGCCAGCGATGCCAACACCAAATACAATAGCCGAGCTGCCCAGATGTACCGGGAAAAGATCCGGCAGTTGGGAAGTGCGGCCCTGGCTCGGCATGGCACCAACGTAAGCGCCTGGTCCCCGGGGCTGGGGTACTGGGGTACTGGGGTGAGTGGGAGTATTCAGAGCCCTGTTTCAAGGATGCCTTCTCCCTTTTAGCTTTGGATAGACAATATGAGTAGTGCATCCAGTCACTCCCCAGAGAAGAAGGACTCTGATTTCTTCACAGAACACACTCAGGTGAGTACCCACAAGGAATGTTTCCCATGATTGTTCCCGGCAGGTGGCTCGCTCTCCAAGGACTTCTGTGATCACAGGCATGGAGTCCACTCGCTGTGGTGTGCTACCTTAGACTGGGAATGTCTGGAGCTCACTGCTAGGCAGGCCCAGGTGTTTCTTCCTCCCCTGAGCAGGCATGCATTGTGGCGCTCCTTGGGCTCAGACCCTATACACTGGGGTGTAGAGAGGAGGAGGAGAAGCTTCTTCAAGGCTCAGGAGGTGTTGATTATTTCAAACAATTTTTTCCTGGGATTTTCCCCATAAGAGAGGTGCTATGGCTGGGGACAGTGAACGGAATCTTCCCCAGAACCCACGCTGGGATAGTGGGGCTGACCTTAGACTCTCTCAGTTTGAATCCCAGCTCCTCTACGTGGCATTTCCAGGATGACTCACTTCACCTGTCAAAACCCCAGTCTTTGCAATAGAGCTGTGTCTTGTCTTACAGGGCTTATTGTGATAATGAACATGTTTGTGTATAAACAGCTCTTAGACTTATGCCTGGCCCATGGCAAGGCTCAGTACTTGTTAGCTGTTACTGAATTAGGCGAACAGGTCTGGCTCTAAGTAAATAGTGGAGGGGTAGAGGTGGCTGCTAGTTTCCTCCCCCTTTTTCCCATAGCGAATAGCAACTATAATTTTACTCGTTAACCTGAAGTCCCTTTTCCTCATGGGCTTGGACTAGGGCCTTGTACCCACAAGGAGCTTGTAGGTTCTTGGTGCTCCTTGCCAGCAGGACCAGCTCACTGAGGCTTCTGTGCTCTTGCCTCCTTTGTAGCCCCCGGCCTGGAACGCACCAGCCGCCGACCTAGCAGAGACCCAGCAGCCGGCCCCGTCTGCGGAGAGCAGTGGATTAGCACGTGAGTTCAGCCCAGATTCCAAGCAAGTGCCCTGGTCCTGGCAAAGCCTTGGGGCTGGGCCTGGGCCTGGGGCACCCGCTCAAGGGGCTAGGAGTAGGAGGGGTCTCCTGTATCTCTGGGCGGGCTGGGATTCATTTCAGTGTCTTGGAGGAAGCGATGGCATTCCTTTTGTCTTTCGGAGGCCTCAGCAAGCTGAGGAAAGCCAGTGCCGCCTGCTCTTGTCCCGTCACTGCCCTAACGGGGGTCGCGGGAAGCTCTGGGCCTCACACCTAACTCCCACCATTGCATCTGCAGAGACGGAGCTTGGCCCCAACACGGACCTACTTGGCACCTCACCGAAAGCTCTGGGTCAGTATGACGGCTGGCAGGTGGGGGGGGGGTGACTGGGAGAGGGTGGGCCTCAAGGTTCTTTGTAGATCTGCTGCCTGGTGATGTGGACTGAGGCCACGGGGGCTGAGCATCTTAACTTGCTGGAATGGGACCGGAGTTGAGTTCGTGGCTGCAGTGTTGACTGTGAGGACTCTAGAGCCAGGCCCTTTGAACTGGTGAACCTGGGTGGGCTGGTCTGCAAGGCCAGAGTCTACCTCTGGGTGTGGGGCTGGTTCTAGCCAAAGTGGGGAGGCCAGCGTGAGACTGGACACCTAACCTTGGGGTCTGAGACAGGGCTGGCCTGTGGGTTCACTTCTTGGGATGAGGGGACAGCTCTGAGCTGCTCATGGCTGGAGGTGACAGTGTTCTTTTTTATCCAGTCCTTGGCCTTTCAGCTCCTTTGTACTCTTTCCCTAGTGTCTTCTGGTTCAGGGCGAACAGTCTTGGTTGTCCTTGGTTAGTTCTCTTCACCCGCAGGGGTCGGGGCAGGAAGCCAGCAGAATGACGGTCAGGCTGACCCTGTGGGACGGCTGGCCCGGCCGCTGTAAGACAAGATTCTGCAGAGGCCTCTGGGCTTGGGGACTACGTGAAGTCTCTGGGGCGGGCCCCTTGTTAGCCACAGGTCTGTTTCTCTCCAGAGTCCATGTATCTGTCACCTAAAGGGGCCCTTCCTGCCAGAGGTAACCAACAGCCACCTGGGGAGCCCGGCCCCTCGCACGCCAGCTCCCTGCTTTAGGAACAGAGGCTGATGTTTGGCACCTGCCCCTGCCCAGCAGCCTCTCTGTTGGTTTGGGGACTTTGTCTCTGCTGCTTCAGGTCTAGTTCTTGTCCCAACCTGGTGGGAGTCAGTAACCTCCCCTAATCTTGTCTTTGGCTTGGACTCTCCTGGCACCATTGGTTGGGGCTGTTGGTGGCAGCTTTGCCTTCCCCTGCCTGAAGCTGTTCTTTTTAGAAGCTCTTGCCAGAAACTGCATGGTGTGAACGGAACTGCTGCCCCTGACCTCCCTTTGTCTTCACTCATGCCTCACCTCCTTTCTCACGCAGACATGAAGACGTCCCTCATTGGCAAAAAGAAGCCCGCAGCAGCTAAGAAAGGGGTAGGTGGGGCGAGGCGGTCTGGTAGCGTGGTTGTGACCCAGAGGTGGCCTGCCCGGGCCCACCCCTTGACCCCACCACTCGCTGGCTGTATGACTTCGGCAGCGGCACTCAGCCTCTCAGAACCTTGTCCGGGCAAGGGCTCTCAAGAGGCCTGTCTTCGAGGGACTCCTGGGAGGAGTCGGGGGTTGTGCAACTAGAGTGTGTGGGATGTGCTGGGCCCCGTGACCCCTGGGTGCTGGTGTGAGGCCCTGCGGCCTTTGCCGGGGCTGCGGGAGCCACCTTGTGCCCAGCTCTTGCAGAGCCTGTTCTCCCTCAATCATGCAGCCTGGGCTCCTGTTTATCCGGAACTTTAAGAAGGAACGCATTTCTTTGGGTGTGCGAGAGTACCCATGCATGGGCAGGAGGGGAGGACATTTGGTGGGCAAGGCCCCCATCACGTGGTTCTCCTTCCAGCTGGGTGCCAAGAAAGGTCTCGGGGCCCAGAAGGTGAGCAGCCAGAGCTTCAGCGAGATTGAGCGGCAGGCCCAGGTGGCAGAGAAGCTCCGTGAGCAGCAGGCAGCTGATGCCAAGAAGCAGGCGGAGGAGTCCGTGTGAGTGTTTGCCGGGGGGCCCGAGCTCAAGTGGGGTTGGGTGGGCAGGTAGGACAAGTCAGGATGGGTGCTGGCCTCTGATACGTTTGTTCCTTTCAAGGGTTGCCTCCATGCGTCTGGCGTACCAGGAGCTCCAGATTGACCGTAAAAAGGAGGAGAAGAAGCTACAGAACCTGGAAGGGAAGAAGCGAGAGCAGGCAGAGAGGCTGGGCATGGGCTTGGTGTCCCGAAGGTGAGGCCCAGCTCCAGGGAGTGGCAGGGAGAAGCCATGTTCCCCTGGGAACCCCAGCAGGCTCTTTGCCGCAGTTTGGGGTTCTAGGCTTAGTCTTCCTTAGAGGATGAGTAAATCGCTTTGCTATTGTCTTTAAGCACCTAGTGCAGTGCTTGGCACGTAGTTGGTATGTGCTCTGATGCCTGCTCGCCAAGTGTCAGTAGTGCCACCAGATACTCACACCTGGAAATAACCCCAACATTCAAACGCCCTTTGGTTGGACAGTACACTTCCTGTTTCAGGACAGTGTTGCTGTGGTTTTCTTAAAACTAGGACTGCAAACCAGTCCTCATACGTGTTTTGTTTGTTCTACACTGAGTTAATGTGTAGTGATTTCAGTAACACTAAACTTTTGATCTTTTAAAAAGTGAGAAAATTTGAAAGTGCTGGAGCCCACGATGCTGGCCACAGGTGGCTTGTGCTGCGTGGTGGCGGGGTCTTTCGAGGTGGTGTGAGCTCTGTCATTGGCTTTCTGCACTTAAATACGTGCTGTGTCATTTCCCCTGTTTTTGGATGAGAACAGTGAAACTCGTCAATTAAGCAACTTGCTTGAAGCCCACAAACATAGTAATTGGCACAAACAGGTTTTGGACCTCGAACTATTTGATAGCAAATTCAGTGTATTTGGTCACCGCGCTCCGCTTTTCTGGAGGACGATAAGACCGGGCCTTCTGCCTCAGCCGCACACGCGCTGGTTGGAGCCCACTCCCTTCCCACCCTCGCGCTGCTCGCGTCACACAGCCAGTCAGGGAAACGGGCTTTAACCCTGGAAAAAACTAGGTGTCCACCTTTTCCCTGTTTTGGTCACAGGAATTACTGAGTTAAAGGGTAGGAACAATTTTTAGTTCTGTTCTTTTTTCCTTTTTGTAGTGCAAGAGGAATTTTTATTTAAGCCAGCCCGCTCTATTTAAAGCCCTATTGCAAAATTTTCACTCCTTGGGCTTCTGCCAGCCAAAAGCTATAGCTCGTTATTTAATGATTTTATTTTGACGTGATTAATCCCTCAAATGCCTGTGTGGAGCAGTGCACAGGAGGGAAGCGAGGCGCCGAGAGCTGGCCCTGCCCGCCTGCTCAGAGCCCCTTCTCACGGGGAACCGGGCCGCAGGTCCAGGTCCTTGTGCATAGGGCTGGGCACTTTGAAATGCTTTCCTCGTCTGAAAAAATAGACGGGACGGTTAAAAACCATCCTTCGATGCCGTTAGACTCATTTCCCTGGTTCTGGGGCATTTTTCTTCTTTCGCTTTTCGTGTGTATGTATCCATCTTGTGAAGGATGTGGCTTGTAACATGGCAAGTCTGTTGATTAGCACTGTCACTTGGTGCACACTATTAAAATTGTAACAGGCAAATAGTCACTTGTCGGGGGAAACGTACTCTGAGTGACCAAAGCCAGCGTGCCAACCCTGAGGCCGCGTTCTCCAGGCAGCACAGCCCCGAGCACTCCCGCCCCGCCGGGCACGGGCGGCGGGGGTGGCGCCAGTGCTCGCCACTGCTCACGCCCGGCTCTGCTCTCTCCACAGCTCCGTCTCCCACTCGGTGCTGTCTGAGATGCAGGTGATCGAGCAGGAAACCCCAGTGAGTGCCAAACCCTCCCGCTCGCAGCTGGACTTGTTTGACGATGTTGGTACTTTCGCCTCTGGACCCCCAAAGTAAGGCTATTGTTGGGGTGAAGACTTGGCCATCATGTTCCTTGTCAGGCTTCTCTGAGCCACGCTATTGTCTCCCTAGGTACAAGGACAACCCCTTTTCCTTGGGGGAAAGTTTTGGTTCCCGCTGGGATACAGATACCGCCTGGGGTATGGACAGGATGGAGGAGAAGGAGCCAGAAGTGACCATCTCAAGCATCCGGCCAATTTCAGAAAGGTGGCGTGGGCTAGGGCAGCGCTGTCCAGTGGAACTTTCCATGATGGGAGAGTTGCGTGTTTGTACTGTCTGGTGTGGTAGCCACTAGGTGCATGGTTACTGAGCCCTTAAAATGTGGCTAGTGCAACTGAGCATCTACATTTTCAGTTTAACGTAAACTTAAATAGCCAAGTGTGTCTAGTGGCTGCCGGCCCAGACAGTGCAGGAGTTGGGCTTTGGTTTGAGCTGTGCATAGCAGCTCCTTGTGTAAGGTCCATTTTTCTGGCAGGAGGGGTCTGATTTTATGCTTCCGTCCTGGCCGCCTTAAGGTTGCGTGTCTCTGGCCCCCATCTTATTTTTTTAAAAGCTTGTTCTGTCTTAATCTGGGCAGTATGTTTGAGTGATAAATTGTCTGCACGTTATCCATTGGTAAAATGGGAACATCAGTTGTGACTTCACAGGGCCATGGGAAAGATTAAACGTAATAAAGTCTGAAAGCACCTGCCCCGTGCCTGTGCCTGTCAGTGCTGGGCGGGAGCGACCACACACCTTTTCACCCACGCTGGGGTGCTCGTGAGAGCGAAAGGGGGCTCCGTTGCTGACTGTGCCTGGAGAGTAAGCATAAACCCAGGCCAACCGAGACCCGTGGTCGCGCTCGTGTTGGGCCGGTGGTGACAAGCAGTACAGGAGCCGGGACGACGTCCTAGACCTTGATAAGCCTTTGCTGGTTGGGGCAGAAGCTGGGGTCCCTCTTAACCGTATGTCCTCTCTGTGCCTGGGCGTCAGTATGGAGAAGGGAGGGGTCTCCTCCAGGGGAGAGGGTGTGAGTCCCAGAGCCAGCCAGGGCCTTGGTAAGCATCCACGGTCTGCCCCTGATAGTGATGGGGCGGGGGCGGTAAGACTGTCCCCAGATAATAATGGGAAGGGTCAGACATGTTGTCTCTCATCCACCCTCAGAGTCACAAACCGGAGGGAAGTGGAGAGCCGGAGCTCAGGCCTCGAGTCCAGTGAAGCACGTCAGAAATTTGCAGGAGCCAAAGCCATCTCATCTGACATGTTCTTTGGGCGGGAGGTAGATACCGAGGTAAGTAGAGTTGTCCACCCGGAGGCTGGAGGCCGCGGGTAAAAGCAAGTCCTTCCTCTCTGCTCCTAGTCGGGGTTTCAGCACGAGGGTGGCTGGCCTGTGTGGGATCCTGGGACATCGACCGAAGGATCACCAGGTCTTGCCTTTTCTTCACCACAGTATGAGGCCAGGTCTCGGCTACAGCAGCTCTCAGGCAGTAGTGCCATCAGCTCTTCAGACCTCTTTGGGGACATGGATGGAGCTCATGGAGCAGGTAGAGCACCAGGGGTGTGGTGGGTACCAAGTGAGACCAGCGGGCAGAGCCGGAGGGCCCTGTGGACTGGGCAGAGCATCCTGCAGGCCCCTGGGTCACCCCTTCCCTTGATTTCACAGGTAGTGTATCTCTGGGGAATGTGCTCCCCACAGCTGACATTGCCCAGTTTAAGCAGGGTGTCAAGTCTGTGGCCGGGAAGATGGCTGTGCTGGCCAATGGTGTGATGAATTCTTTGCAGGTGAGGCTGGGGCTGCTGCTTGACTGGGGGTGGGAGGGGCCTAAAGAGTAGTGCTTGGAGGTTGGCCGCCTTCACCGCCACACCCAGACACTGTTACTGGGTAGCCCCTCAGCCCGAGAGAGCATTTCCTTCCTGCGGAGGGGCAGCTTCCTTCCTTTGAGCCCTGTGTCAAGGCTGTGCCTCGCCCCATGAAGGCGCCCTGTCCACACCGATTTCCCCCAGTCCTGTCGCCTGCACTCCTCCTCCTCCCCAGCGTCTAGGAGATGAGGCAGGGCTTCCCCCTTGCGAGCTGGCCACAACCCCCTTCCCAAGGCACAACCAAATATAAAGCAGTCCCTGCCCCATGAGATCGGTTGCTCCCCACACTCCCCTTCCCAGTCCTGCCTGGTGTGCGGGGGGGCCGGGGGCGGGGAGCTCCTGCGGGTTAGAGATGCTGACTTTTGTTTTTTCTCCGCCCATTTCCAGGATCGCTATGGTTCCTATTGATCCAGGCTCCACGGTTCAGGCATTTGGTGGTGACAGCAGCAAAAACCCCATGATCGCCAGGCCGGGGCTGCTTGCCTTGTGGAAGCTGGGGAGGAACTGTTACTTACGTGTGTGGTGTGTGACTGGGGTGGCCTTTGAGGCTCTCTGGTGAGGGGATGGGCGGTATCAGCCCTTGACCTCTCTGCCTGTAGACCAAGCCCTTTACTCTTCTCCCTCACACCCCCTCCCCCGTGCGCTAGACCCTTGTCCTTCCAGTTCTGCTCCCGATGCTGCTGCTCACTTGCCCTGCCACACTGGGAGCGCAGGGAGGGCATCTCCTCAGGACGGCTGATTCTGGGTCCAGCCCTTCCCTGAGTTGGGAAAGTGAAAAGTGTAAGGCTTTTTTGCCGGCTCTAGGATCCTTCCAGGTGGCTCGGGGGCTCAGCCCCCACCCTCTGGAACCAGCAGGGAGGTCGAGGAAGAGTTCTGCTGCAGACCAGCCCCCAGAGGGAGGGAGGCTCTGGGCTTGCTGCTGCTGTTGATGCTCCAGTGGCCTCTTCTGGGCCCCAAGAGAGGGCAGGGCAGGGGAAGGACCTTCGTTTGGGCCTGACTAAGGGCTAGAAACTACCTGGTATCTAAAGGTTTCATTGAGGATCAGACTGGAGGCCCAAGTGGTCATCTGCCTCACCGCCCCTTTCTACAGTGGTCACTGGGAGGATTACTTTTCCTCCTGGGCATCTCAGAGTCCTTGCCTACCATCCATGTGGACCACAGGACCCTCTGTCCTGTCCTGAGACTCCCTTTTTCCCCCTCATTTTGTGGCCATGGTGAGTCTCACCTGCCCTGTGGTGTCCTGCTGTGGATGCTGTGAGCATAATGCTGGCCAAGGAAGCAGAGGACATGAGGGACAGAAGCAGGCTCCTGGGCTTAAGGGGGTCTGGACAGCACCCCACCAGTGAGAGCTTGGTGTGCCCAGGGCTGCCTGCCTCGCCCCCCAGCCGCTGGGCCATGCACTGTGTCATCCTTGGTGCCATCTTCCCCTGCCACGCTGGCAGTCTGGGCTAACCCCGCCCCCTGTGGGTTGAGGGTTGGGCTCCCAAGCAACAGACCACTCTTCCCACCACCCCCTCCTCGAAAGGGACTTGACTTTTCTTTCTGAACTGTTTGTATTGAAATATAGTGGTGTCAAATAAAGCCCCGATGGGGCCGCAGGCCCCTGTTGGTCTGAATGTAGTGTCCTCTCTGCATCCTGCCCTCCTGCCCCAGGCAGGCCCTCTGCCTTGCTGTCTGGGCTCCCACCAATAGGGTAGGGCGTCGGTGCCGAAGCTTAGGGCACTTTCTCCAGGGCCTCCAGCTTGTCTCTTCTCTGAAAGCCAGAGTCCCCTGGCTCCTCGGCCCTGTGCTGCCTTGAGGTCCGGTGCATCCTCGACCTCACCACCCTGTTGCACGCGGAGGAAAGAGCTGGAATTAGTTGGCCCTTCAGTTCATCCACTCTGCCACATGGCTCCTCATCCCAACAGTAGGTTTGCCTGGGGGTGTTAGTAATAAAATACAGAGACCTTAAGGAATCCTTTTAAGTCCAGGGAGAAAGGATGTATATGTGTGTAACCCCCTGGCTTGGCAACCTCTGTCCCCTCTAGGGGCTCCCAGAACCTCTCCGACTGTAGGGGCATTGTGGTTCAGCTGTAACCCAGCAACCTGAAAGGTGGGTGATTACAAAGTATGGGTGGAGGGAGCCGTGGGAACTCAACTAAGCCAGTGATTTCCAAAGCACGGGCCTGGTACTTCGGGCTTTGGAATGGTCCGGAGTGTTCATAGTCCAGATTTCTGTGCCGTGTCCCAAGCTGGAGTGTGGTAATTTGCATTGCAAACAAACCCCCAGGTGACTTGGATGCACACCAGGGTTTTCCAACTACTTTGAACCAGCTGGAGGCTGGCTGTTTGTGGGCCTGGAGAGTGCTCCGTGTTCCTGGAGCTTCCGTGGGTCTGGAACTACAGGGCTGTGGAGGCCGGTTCTGGGAACTCCAAGGTGGCTGGTCTGGGCAGGGTAAGCCCAGGGAAATACATGCCAGGTGGTGGTGACCTTTGGCTTTGCTTCAGAGGAGGTGGCCTGCTCTGCTTGGGCCCACAGGTGGGTTTTACTTTCTGGAGGACCCCTGCTGAGTCCAAGGAAGTTGAAGACCACTTGTCCTTGACCCCCTTTCCATTTTGGCTGGAGGCTTGTACTCCGCAGGCCTGTGTTCACAGCTGCATCCCCACTGCCCCAACCCTGAGCAGGTGCTTGGCAAGGGTTTAATGAGACTGGCTGGAAGGCCCTGCAGTGCTGACCCTTTGTGGCCAGAGTCTTTACAAGTTACAGGAACCTGGCCTTGAACCCCTGAGCTCGCTTTCTGAAGGCCCATCCCAGCTGTGAGTGCCTCTCCTTCGAAAGGCTGTCAGTGCAAGAGAGAAGCTGCTCTGCTTGTTTTCTGGGGCAGGTCTCCAGGCTGAGTGGTCCTCGGGCCCCACATCTCCTGGGAGAACGGCCTTGGCACCAAAACCCAAACTCATCCCTTCCCTTCACCCCCTCCTTGGTCTAGGGGGTTTAGACTCACCACTTAGTAGATGCAAGGGACTTTATTCATTTCACATTTAACTCAGACACAGGAGGCTTGAAGCAGTTTTTGAAAGTGAAATGGTCTTCTTGCCCACCCTTCATCCCATCGTGGCTAGTGGCTGTTTCTCCAGTGCAAGGCCACTGTGATTACGTCCTCCCCTACTTGCATCATGGGTATCACCCCTGAGCATGCAAGGCCCTGTGTGGCTATTCCTGGAATTGTGAGATGAACCTTATCTGGCAACTCAGCAAAAGGTGAAGACCAAGCCCCTTCCCGGTGGCCTCTGTTCAATGTGCTGTCAGCCTGGACCTGACTATAAGGTGCAAGGACTGACAGGGACGGGGAGAGTAGGCTAACTTAAGTCCCTGCTTGGGTTGCCTCATAGAACCCCTCTGGGCAGGTCTTGGACTGGGGCTGTTTGGCCTTTTCTCCAGCAGAGGGCAGCATGGCACAAGGGCAGGCGAGGAGTTGGGCGGGAGGAGGCGCAGGGTACAGGGTATGGTAGACGCGACCCTTCTGAGTCCTCAAGTCTCGGACTCATCTGTCTCTTCAGTGGAGCCATCGCTCTCTGCATCCACTTTGCGGGCATGGTGGAGGGGTCTCCAGGAAAAACCAGCCCGGTGAGGGGCCCGGGAAGGCAGGCAGCTGGCCTCTGGACTGGCCGTGGCCGAGGTGACCAGGTCTGGGATCTGGGCCAGCCTGAAGGAGGAAAGAAGCCCAGAGGGCAGCAAGCTGCCTCCTGCCCAGAGACCAGGGCCTCCGCACTCACTGCTGCATTTGAACGGAGCCAGGGGCGCCATCCTCAAGGGGTGCCAAGAGAGGACACCTCAGGCCTCTGCTGCCCCCTAAACCCTTCCCTGACTGATGGGGATGTTAGGGACAAGCGTTGAGCTACCCCACAGAGGGACATTGCCATGTCCGACTGAGGTCTGCCCCACCAGGGGACAGCAAAATCCCACTTGACACTTACAGTCGCTCCAGCTCCTCGTCCATGGCTGGGTCATGCATCAGGTCCCCTTTGTCAGGCAAAGCTCCTAGGAGATAATTGGGGGGCGCACAACTTAACCTGAGGGTCCTTTGACCCGGCTCTGGTCAGACAGCCCCATGCCCAGCAGATGCCTCTGTGCCCTTCACCTTCATATCTGCCTGTTTGGGCTGATCTAAAAGATAGAGGGAACAGCTTTTAAGAGACTAAGAGAAATGCTACCAAAGAGTCTTGGGTACTGCTGGATAAATGTAATGTTTATAACACTTGCCTCTCCAACCCCCAAACTTGGGGCCGAAACCAGAGCTAAGGGCACATCCCCAAACCTTAAGGTCACTGCACAAACAGCGATCACCTTCCGAAGCTAGATGGTGGGCTGTGGCTAGTGCTGGGGGTTCAGTCCTTCCTTGAGGCCCCTCAGTGCTGGGCTGAAAAGGAGCCAGAGATACAGGATGTGGCCCGGGCTAACCACAGAGACCTCCAGGGAGGGTCCCGGGGCGAGACGACAAGACTGGGCCAGGGGCAGGCCGAACTCTCTCTGGCATGGCCGTAGCCACCATGTCCCATCTCTGCTGTCACAAATCTCTCTCAGCTGGTTTCCTCAGCTGTAAACTAAGGGAATCAGTTCTTTGATATTGAGGAAAGGTGAGAGGAGAGAGTGTTGGACGATCCCCGGAGCCATTAGCAGTGGCCGGAAAGGTGGAGCTGAAGTTTGCAGACAGAAAAATTCTCACCAACAAATCATTGACAGAGAAGCTCACCAGTGGTCAGAACCTAGATCTGGCAATCAGCAATGCTGGTCTCCAGAAAGCCTCGACCTTAAAATGACCCATCTGGCCCTAGTTCAATTCCCAACCTTTCCAAAGCCTTTTCAAATGATGCTTCCTGGTTCCTTTTGCTCTAAGTTAGTGGTTTTCAAACTATGTCCCACGGAACCCTCCCCTTTTGTGGTGCTGGGGGTGCCTTGACAACTAAAGGGCCAGGCTGACAACTGGCTGCAGCCAGGGACCTCGGGGCCTCTATTTCATACGTGGGAGCCGCAGGAGAGGGCGGAGATCCTAGGCTACTTTCCATCTCCCACGCCGCCCAGCCCTAGTGTTCCAGAAAAGTGGTTGACTGAGTGGCTGTCCTTTCAAAGGCCCTAGAAATAGTGACAATGTGCAGTTAGTCCCAGCAGTGACTCAGTTGCTAGTTAACTTTTCCTTTTCCTTCCTAGTGGCTGTGATTGGTGGAAAGGAAGGGAGGGTGGTCAGTTACCTAGGAGTGTGAAAGAAAACCTGAGCAAATTCCCACTGGCCACTTCCTTGCTCTTGACTTCTGACTCCTATTTGTCTCCTTTCTATTCTCTTCCAGCCAATGACCTTGGCTGCCAGCCTCACTCGGTCCCCAGACCTGTGCATGCCCCAAGCTTTGACCCAGAAAATGGCTGCCAGGTGGCGTCATGGCTGCGTGGGCCCTCAGCCAGCCAGTCCTCCTGGGGTGTGCGCTCCTGTGTACCCCACAGCATCCCCACAGGCTCTATATTGCGTTAGATCTAAAGCATCTAGTGCAGCCCTGGCTGGCATGGCTCAGTGGGTTGAGTGCTGGCCTGCAAACCAAAGGGTCGCTGGTTTGATTCCCAGTCAGGGCACAGGTCCCCAGGAGGGGTATGCAAGAGGCAACCACACATTGATGTTCTCTCCCTCTCTTTCTCTCTCCCTTCTCCTCTCTCTAACAATGAATAAATACATAAACAAAATCTTTAAAGCACCTGGTCCGGTATTGGCCTACTGTGGCGGTATTTAATGAATGTTATTTGATGCTATTCCTTCAACTGGCAGAAGGAAGGGGAACACGGCGTGTCTCTTCTCTGAGACTCAGGAACCTGGGACTCCCTGAACACCTGGGTACCTCAAGGAGAGAGACGTAAGAACCCCTCAAGCTCCCCTGGATGGCGACCTGGTGGCTCTTCCCCTAGGAGAGCGGTGGGTATGGGAGGGGGTGGGGTGAGTGGAGACGGCCAACCAGTGAGAATAAAACGATGGACAGAAAAAACTGGGTCAGTGCAGGCCTCCCCTCGCCCACACCATTTTGATCCCTTTTAGATTAGTCAGATTTTTTTCCATCTGGGGAAAAAAGCCTTCCCAGACACACTTTTACCCTGTTTACAAATGGGATCCAGGACTTTTTGATATATAATCTCCAGGGCCCCTGAGTAAATAGCCCTATGTCGGCCAGGCCACTCCCCCAGACAGGCCTGGGGGTTCTGTGGGGAGAGGCTGGGCACACCCCTGCCATGGAGACGCACTTCGTGTCAGGCAGGGCTGTGGGCAAGGAAGGCTGTCCCTCCCCATAGGAGCGTGAGGGACCTAAGAGGGCCTTGTGTTCTGCACGTCCCGGCTTCCTAGGCCTCAGAGCTTGGTCCTGAGAACCTCCGGGGCCAGGCTGCCGAGAGACGCCAGCTCCTACAGGGCTTGGCACTGCGTGGCCACAAGAGGCTGGCCACAGGTGGCGCTGGCTCACCTAGGGCTTGGTTGATTCCGTGATGCTTTGAGAGAGCCACAAGGAATCCGTAGAAGGTCAGTCTCTGAACGTTGCTTAGGACCTCTTTGACAAGAGCTGGGGGTGGGCAGCTAGGAGAGAAAACACATGCCAGATTCGAGGATGT